TCAATGTTCACATCTCACCCCTGCTCCCCATTCACAGGACTCATCTGGAAGATGCATGCTTGAACTTAGACAAGTGAGAGGCGGAGCCACAGGCTGAACCACCCAGTGCATGGTCGGAGCGCTAATTTTACTGAGTGGCAAGTGAGAAATATTTCCTTCTGAAAACAAACACAGAAAAACACATAAAATTCATTTGCAATCTGAAGACCAAACAGCAACTTCCAGAGAAATGTTGGCCCCGTCCAGACAAGGGGACTGCTTTCCCCTCTTGATGGAAGCGCAGCGGGGAAACTGAGGACATATGGGTCTTCATGAACACCTGCGTTCTGTTAGGCTTTGCTCTTTGGGAAATCCCTAAATGTTCAGGTCAAGCCAAGCCTGCTGGACGCCTCAATGTGACAGCAGTGTGCGGCAGAGGGAGCCACAGCAGGGCCACCACAGCAGGAGAAGCTCTGGGGGCAGTTCCTTCCCACTCCTGGGAGCCAGAAGAAGTACAAACCAAGGAAAAGCTGCCCATTAACAGTGTCTCGGGAGTGTTTTTAGTAAAAAAGTCAAAGATGCCCCCACATAAATCCTCTCTGTGAAATCAATCCAGGCTTAATCAAAAGCTGCCCAGCAACTGGAATCCATCTCTGGGCTCGACACAGGGTCCTGAGATCCCTGAGCATTCATCCTGATGGCTATATTCTTAAGTACTGATCTATCATCATCCCTCAAACCCCCTTCTTCCTTATCTAACTTAAATAACCAGATAAGCCCAACACTCCTGGGCTTTGCTAAATGGCTTTAAATATTTCAAGTTCTGCCAACTCCCATTTTGCCTGCCTTTTGGGGTCTTGACTAAAAAGGTGAAGAAATGTTTTGGTGGAAACCTCAGGGCCCGGCCTCATAAATCTCTGTCTGCCATTTCCCAGCACGCTGTGCTGCCCAGAGTCTAAAACACATGAAGTACGGGCTTAGGCAGGTAGAGCCACCTTCACCCACGGGCATCCCCCCTCCGAACCATGCATTCAGGCAGAGAACAAGACATGCACATGGCTGGCTGCCCGGCTTGCCCTGGTCTGCTCACAGAGTGGCAGTCGATCTTCCATGGCATCAATGGCACCTCAAGCATCTGTGCCATTTTTAAAAACTTTACTTGAGAACAGATGAATGTGGCCCACTCCACGTAGACTGAAGGACACACCCTGAGCCAGCAGAACTCAGCCTTGGAAAGAGCTTCCTGTTTCAGTTCCAAACCACACATACTTGTGGAGTTAACAAATGTGTGTGTGTGTGGGGGGGGGAGAGGTACTGGTCTGCAACATGGACACAGGGGCCAGAGGTGCTGCTGTCACCCACCGTCTTCTCCCCCTCCCCCACCCGCCTTCCTAAGGACTGCTCGAATGCTAGGGAAACTGAAGAAAGTTAGGTGGCTGTGTTTTTGGAATGCCCAACAAGGAGAGGAACTTGGAAATGTTTTCATCTAAAAGGACATGGGGGGGGGGGTTCCTATAAATAAAACCATGCTCTAATAAACATGAGAAGGAGCCAATGTTTCCTGTAAAGCTACTATGCAGATGGATTACTGGAAGGAGTACTCTTTCACAGTTTTATGACTTACTTTGCTATCATCTGCTCAAAAGTTGGGCCATTTAAAACATAGATGGCTCAGATCTAAGCCTTCAATGGGATAAAATATGGAAAGAGAGCAGAGAGCAGAGAACGTCTTCCAAGTGCAGACTCAGAGGCAGAACTCTTGGACTCTTGGGTTCTGTTCCTGGCGAGCTCCCTGGGCTCAGGTCAGTCTTCGGTCAGAATCTCACTTTTAATCCCTTCAAATCATTTGTTAGTCCCTGTTGTCTAAACAGTGGGGAAAAACCCTGAGTAACACCCCTGGATCCTGTTCAACCAACTGGGATAGCTGGATGGCTCTACCTCACTTCCAAGAAGCCAGGGTGATTTATCCCTTGGGTAGTGTCAGGGTGTTCTGGGAGACTGTGGTGTTATCAGGGCAAAGGCAGGGGAAAAGGACACGTTTCCCCACCTGCAGGGAGCTCTGGGCATGGCCTGAAGATAATATTACCCAGCCTTATTGTAGCTCTTCATGGCTCCTATATTAAAATAACCCTGGTTGGGCTTCAAACCTTTGGGAGGCAGACTTAACAGACAGGTATATCTAATCTCTTATTTATAGATGGAAAATGCTGAGGTGTGGGTAGGCTAGAGATCAAACCAACAAGTCAGGGTTAGTAAGTGAGCAGGGTTGAAACTCTGCCCTGTTGTTTTCTGGGTCAAGTACTCTGCTCTCATGAACACATGGCTTCTCATTAATAACCTGGACCTTGACAAACACGCAGAGGGGACCTGGTGAAAAGGCTTCAGAAGACCCTCTCCCACCTCTGCAGTGCAGCAGAGGGCACCATGATTGATTTACTGGCCTTTGGGCACAGCTGTTGCTGCTTTCCCAGTCACCAGCCCTGCAGGAGCTGAGAGGACAGATAACTCCTCCTTTGAGGGGCCCATGCCCACAGGCCCTTCCCATAGTTCTATGGTTTGTTTCTAGGTAGAGTGAGCATCTAAGCAGGATACCACATAGCAGGTGCTGGGCTGGGGCCAGGAGACAGGCTGCCCGAGTCTGGCTTTATCATCTCCAGCCAGCTGTGTGGCTATGGATGACCACAGAGCTTTCTGAACTGTCTCTAAGTAAAGCTCAGAGATGAGTGGGACTAGGCCGGTGGAGGCCTGTAGACGGTGCTGGGGACTCGGTCTTGCCAGGTTCCCCTTGGGGACTTTCTCCTTCCCTTTGCCTAGTCAATCCTTCCTTGTACTTCAGGCTTCAACTGCAGAAGAGTGTCCCCACTGCTCAGACCTCTGGACCATTCTCCAGCCCTGCACTCTTTCTGATCAGACCCATCTCTACACCATCTCTACAGCACTTCTGGGTCATCTGGCATCATTCGGCAAATCGTTATTTATATGGTTGTTTGTCTCTGCTGCCCAGATTAATCCTGAGTGGTCCAAGGTTAGGGGTAGTCTTATGTCCTGCTGTATTCTCAGCCTGGAGTTCACAGGAAATTTTCAATCAGCATTTGCTGACTGGAAATGAATGAGTGAATGATGGAAACAGGATGACACTAAGTCAACTTTCTGTGAAAATGTTGGACAACTGGTAGAAATAACAAGAATATTTCTATCCCTACAGCAAACATGGTGCCATGGTTTATGCTCCTAGAAAGAATACAAAGCCTCCCAGAAGCTGGCAAACCAATGCTGTGCAAAGATTAGTCAACACCCTTAACCCTTGCAGCAAAGAAATCTTGTTTTGTTTTTCAGGACAGGGTTTCTCTGTGTAGCCCTGGCTATCCTGGAACTCGGTCCATGACAAGACTGGGATTAAAGGCGTGTGCCACTACTGCCTGGCAGAAACCATCTTTTAAATTTTTCAATGTTTAATCATATGTATATGCGAGGAGAAGATGTCTGTGTGTGTTTGAGTTCCGGTGCTCATGGAGTTCAGAACAAGACAAACCCTGGAGCTGGAGTTACAGGTGGCTGCGAGTCACCCAACATGGGGCTGGGAACTGGACGCAGGTCCTATGAAAGAGCAGTGCATGGCTCCTAACCACTGAGCCACCTTCCAGCACCTCAAAAAAAAAAATTGAGCAAACAAACCAATCCCTTGATATTTAAGGGTTTTAGCAAATAAAGAACAGTTCTTGAGAATGTTTGGGGGACTTCAGTGGTGTTTACACTTTACCCTGAAGGAGACTTCTTGGGCTTTGAGCAGAAATAAAGAACTAGCTGGAAACACTCTCTACTGCCTGCCTGTCCTCACTACAGCATACATGCCTCAAAATAGACACCAGGGCTGTTTTAGCTTTGTATCTGAGAATAGAATGCAGCTTAACTTTTAAAGTAAACTCCACAGCCCTCACTCCCAGCCCCCCCAAAACAGCTGCTTCCAGATGGAAGACATTCTGGCAGAACACATCGAGGCTCAAGGCCTGGTCTATAACCACAAGCACTTCCACTACAGCAACAGTCACCACTGATGAGGCTCTCCAGTGACAGACAATGGCATTCATTTTAATCGGGGTTGACTTCACTTTGACTCTTACTGAAGGAGCAACAGGTGTGAGCCCAGCCCAGCGTCTGAAGGAAGGGGCTCAGTGCTTTACTCACAGAACATTAGCTGTCTGGGCTGCAGTGAATTCCGATGGGCACAGAGGAGCCACGCTGGGAATAGCAACCCTCCTTGTCCCTCTAGGGAGTGAGGCTAAAACAGACCATTAACCAAATACTAAGTTCAAGTGGCTGGGTTCTGTGGGACTCTGGGTTCTGTGGCACTGCATGGGCCGTCTCTGATGTCCCGCCCTAGTTGGTGTCAAGACAAAACAAAATCCCAACTTGCTTGTGGGAGTGTGGGTGCTTGTTTTTTCCACGGCCGGAGGACTGGCTGGCATTTTCGACTAGAAGGAAACCTAAGAGAACACCACGTGATGAACTGCATCTACACATGTTCTAGAACTACACTGAGTCTAGGAGCAAAGACCACCAAATTCAGTAAGCCAATGGGCATGGAGGCACAATTAGCTTGGGGAAACTTATAACGATGTAATCCTAGTTTTGACCTCTTTAATGAAAGAACCAGGCATTGTATTCTCCTATCTATATCCAACCTAGCATTATGTATTTATGGAAAAACGCATGCCACTTTTTGATTAGGTAGATGGAGTGAGAGCAGGAGTCATATATCCCAGACCGGCCTTGAACTTGCTATGAACTTGACCTCCTAGTTCTTCTGCCTTCACCTACCTCCCCAGTGCTGGAATTATAGAAATATGCTATCCCTTCTTCATGCCAGGGTGTGCCTTCTCTACATACGTTTTTATTGCACAAGTCAGACATTTCTTCTACGTGTATTTACGTTAAACAACATATAGCTAATGCAGACAGTAAATCATTAAACACATCACTGTGGTCTAAAGAAGCCTCAAACCTGTGCCATGACCACTGACCTGGGACCGCTGAGTGTGGCCGTGTCTCTCACTGCCTGGGCTGTTTCAGATGCAAAATCCAGGGCCCCTGCCACTGGCTTGGTCACAGTGCCCACAAGTCCTTTGCCAAGGCCAGATATGAAGCCGCTGACACCTCCTTCTGTTTTCACACCTTCCACTGTTGATGTTATAACACTGGTCAGCCCACCAATGATACCTAGATGGGGAGGAAAACAAGGGCTTCTGTCACCTGGTCAAGGACAGAACCAGAATTATTTCCAACCAAACTCCCAGTTCATGAATCTGGAATGATAAAGGCAGTATGTTGCTCTCTAGACAGACCACAGTCAAAGGACCCAGGGGACTTGTTTAGGAAGTCCAGAATCAGAGGATGCTGTACAAGACTATGAGTTAGAAGGAGTATGTGTCCTGGATAATTAAAACAAAACTTTGGTCTAGGGATGTCTTAAAAGAGTTTGGTGGGTAGAGTGCCTGCCTCATGCCTCATGCACAGAGCCTGGCTACATAAAACCAGGAACAGTAGCAGACACTTGTAATCCTAGCACTAGGGGAGTGGAGACCAGAGGAATAAATGCAAGGTCATCTTGAATTCAGCTATGCAATAAGCTCACGGCCAGCCTAGAAGAAATGAGATCCTGCCTCAAAAAACAAACAAACAAAAGTCATTAGTCAATCAATTAAGGAAAGAAAAAGCTGAGAATTAATGGTGACTTTTTCCCCCTATCCCAAGTCTTACGCAGTATTTGGCAACAAAGAGAAGATACAGACAATGGGATGAGGCAATAGGAGGCTAGAAAGTAGGGTCCTTGGGAAAGGTTTGAGATCCTCTAAATATAAGGCAGTAACTAGCTACAAGTTTCAGTTTTCCGTGAATACTGCAGGGCGGCCAGTACCACCCAATGTTTGACATGGTTCGTGTACTACTGCATGTTTTGCTGAGATCATTAGAGTAAATGGTGAAGAAAGCTTTAAGGCACCCCAAATGTTCAGTACAGCTGCCAAGGCCAACCAGGACCCCGAGGGGTTGTGTCAAGCTTAAAAGACCAATCTAAGTGAAAAGGGCATTCAAACGTTTTAAAAGCTGACAGCAATGGTTGACGCAGGCCTGGAGGTGGCCACAAGTTGGCAAAGGCTAGGGAGTTTGCAGGCAGTGCAGGGAAGAGGCAGGCCCTGTACAGTGAGCATTTCCAGGACTCGGGCCAGGGACACTCACAGGATGTTTACCCTCTGACAGTCGGGGTGTGAGGAAGCTCTCTGCACTCTTCAGCTCTAGTGAGACAAATTGGGGAAGGAAACTGGCTGGGTGAGAAAGTCTAAGAATGCACAGAGCTCTTTCAGATTCAGGGTCCTTTTGCTGCAGCGAGGCAACATCCCCCATTCTAATCTTTGAACAACTTTCCTGGCCGAACAGCCAGGACTTAAGAGATAGACTTCAATGGACCTGGGTCAAGCAGGACTCCAGGTTTATTCACTTATTTCATGAGTGAGTGGGTGAGTGAGTGAGTGTGTGTGTGTGTGTGTGTGTGTGTGTGTGTGTGTGTGAGAGAGAGAGAGAGAGAGAGAGAGAGAGAGAGCGCACGCAAGGGAGAGAGAGCGTGTGTGCATGTATGCAGAAGTTGGAGGACATACAAGGAAGTCAGAAGACAGTTTGCAGGACTCAGTTCTCTCCTTCTACCTGCCATGCCAGCACTTCCCCTGGGCCGTGTATCTCCTCAGCAGGTTCAGGAAAAGGGGGGGGGGGCTGGCGGGCAGGCGGGCTCACCAGGACACCTTGCCGGGACTGTGCTGCTGCCAACTTTCTTCCCCCCTTGCACTGAGATGTGTGTAAAGGCACTTGTGGCAGGAGGGGCACAAGTAACTTACCATGAGCCAGGCCATGGATGCCGGCCACGAGGTGCTCTCCACTGGTGGCTGCATGGTACCTGATGTACTCTCGCTCAGACTGGTGCCGATTGTCCATTGTCTTCCCCAGGCCATCTGATAGCGTCCCTGCAAACTGGGACAATGAAAACACAGAGGAGTTTTAAAGCCTCAGCATTAGTTTTTATATTAAATAAACACCTTCCCTCATTCTTAGCTAGGAGTCAGTAAATTGTGGTTATGCAGAAAGATCAACTACTGAGTTACATACACTGTCAGGCCCAGCAGAGTGGCTCTCAAACCCTGGGGGGAGGGGAGCGCGGATACAGGGAAACAAGAAGCAGAGCTGTTACAAGAATCCTCTCAAATCATTTACACATCTGCTCCACATATAACACCCCCCCCAAAAAAAAACAGTTCACAAGAAAAATATTCTAAATGCTGAACGTTTTTGAGCACTGATTAAACTACTGCAGGTGAAACATTCCATGCCTTCCTTGCCCCATGTGAAGGACAGCAGTGCTGGAGAGTGCTGGAGAACCAAAACCACTAAGCAGCCACCTGTGAGGTGTGCGTGAAACCCGGGTGAATTTCACATCGAAACTTGGGTCTCCTCTCCAGGGAATCTCACGTGTAAATAGCCACGAAGCTGGAAGATCCAGAAATTTTTAAAGACTTATGGGCCCAAGTACTTCAAGAAAGAGCTACTTTGCCTAGACCCCCAAAATTTTATTGAAAAGTTATAAAAGTGTGAGCTGGAGAGATGGTCTATCGAATTGAAGTACTTGCAAACAAGCACAAGGACCAGAGTTCAAATCCCTGCTGTCCCTGTAAAAAAAAAAAAACCATTACTGCTGTACAGGTACCTAGAACTCCAGTGCTGTGGCTGTTGTTAAAAAGGTTAATAGCAGACTTGAACCCATTGCTTCAAGTGGAAAATCCATTCTTTCCCACAAGTCACAGGATCTTATCCACCCAGGCATACTTTGGCCAGAAACAGTCGGGTTGCTGGGGCTTGTTGGCCAGCTGTCTATCCCAAGGCTTATTTAGAAAACAAGGCAGAGGTTGAGCAAGTAGGACATTTCCTCTGGCCTCTGTGTGCACACACATGTGAACATACTCCACAAACACACATATTTACAATTTTTTACATTTAAGTTAAATGATTATAGAAAATGGCCAGGGGTGGGAGGAGAGGAGGTAAGAGTTGGGATCCTTCGCTATTAAGGACACAGCCCTGTGTTCTAAGGAGCAGCTGGCTTCAAGGCAGGAGACACGCCAGAGTATGGCTCTAGGGTGTTATATCACAGTCTCTGGAGAGGCCGGTAAAGGTGCAGCTTGGCGGAGGGCTTACCTGACATGCACTGAGCACAGGGCTTGGTGGGGGAAAAGAGAGATGAAAATCCTTAAAGTCATACCTTCTTTCACTCACTCAGCAATCACCAAGTGCCCATCAGGTACCCAGCCCCATTAATCAAGGGAGAAAAGGAACTGGGTGAAAAGATTAACAGCAGATTGAATCCATGACTTCAAGTACAAACCCATCGTTCCCCACAAATCAGAGGATTTTATTTTCCCTAGCATACTTTACCCAGAGAAGCTGACTCATCCATCAAAGCTGGATAAAAAGGACATAAAACTCTGTTTTGTCACCAGACAATTTGAAAAGGTTTAACGTGACAGTTAATAAACCACAGGGTACTTATCCTCATCATTCAGGCACAAAAAGAGAAGGGTATCAAATATATAATTAGCCTTCTCAGGAAGGATCTACCAAAACAACTGGTTTAAGCACCAATGACCCAGGACTAACCTCTTAGAAAACTCACAGGAATGTTATTCAGGTATACAGCTCAATGGGAAGACTATAGGCCAGTAGCCAACCTGGAGGACCCAGGACACTGGGCAGCCATCTGGGGGCCAACTTCATTCTGATTTGGTGGAGGGGGGGAGAGGAAGGAGGGTTTCTGGGTGTGGTTAACACATATCAGATTTGCCCTGGAAACCATCAGTCTAGAAGCTTCTTGACACTGAGTGGCAGGTGAGTTCTGAGGGGAAGAAATAGCAAATGCTTCCTGGCTTCAGCTATGGGAAAGCTCCTCCCACTCCCCCACCCTCAGGCCCGATGCTGATGTGGTCTAGGGCATCAATGGCACACCCTCCTGGAAATCTGATTCCCACCACAGTTTGCTTTTCAGCCCCACCCTTTCCATCACTCTACAGTTAGTTACAGAAATAAAGTTAATGGAAGTTAATTGGCGGCTTCCTTTAGGACTATGAGAAGAACCACGGGAGGTTACAAAGCCATCACTGTGGATATGGAGGGTGGACTTTGTTCTTGGAGAGCCACCACGGGACACAAGGCCTGCACATTGGCCTGAGCCAGATGGCTGGCCCCTCTTGAGCACTGTGAGAGCTTTGTGCTCTGAGCCTTCATCTGCACTGGGGTGAGGTGATGGTACTTACTTCACCATGTGGCTGGTAAGACCAGCAATAGTAACTCAGGGCCTGGTGTCCAGCTAGTTTGTCAGCTGCTAGTCCAGGGACAACCATCACCCTTTCAAAGGATTAGAACTGTGGCCAGCCACACTAGGGTTTAACTTCAACAACCACTTTTCAGAGTGGGACCACCTATAAAGTCAGAGTGCTCAGTGGATAGTAGTCAAACCTTTCCAGCTCTAACTTCAAACTATCTCCACAGGCCTTGGAGCCTGTCCTGCAGCCAGGGGTCTCAATGCAGTAACAGCGGTGACTTAAATGCAGTGGCCAGAACTGCAAGTCTAGAGCATTAACCCCATCTGTGCTAAAGCCCCAGAGCTGGTAAGATGACAGTCACATGGGGCATGTCAGTGACGGTGTCTGTAGCATGCACAAGAGCTCCCCGGCTGCCTTCAGCATCTTGGCCAGCTGGAAAGGAGCAAGTACTGAGGGAAAAGTGGAAGTAAAGGCCACTTTAACAAGAATGACGATAAAAGCCAACTTTTCTCACAGGCAAATGGTTGGAACTAGAAGAAACCATCCTGAGTGAGGTACTCACTCATATAAGGATTTTAGACATAGGGCAAAGGATCACCGGCCTACAGTCCACACCGCCAGAGAAGCTAGGAAACAAGGAAGACCCTAAGAGAGACACACATAATCCCCCAGAGAAGGGGAAAGGGACACGATCTCCTGAGCAAATTGGGAGCATGGTGGGAGGGGGGAGGGAATGAGGAGAAAGAGAAGGGGAGAAGAGGAGGACATGAGGGAGCAGGAAGATTAAGTCAGGGGAAGAACAGAGGAGAGCAAGAAAAGAGACACCATAAAGAGGGAGCCATTATAGGTTTAAAGAGAAATCTGGCACTAGGGAAATGTCCAGAGATCTACAGGGATGAACCCAACTAACAACTAAGCAATAGTGGAGAAGCTACCTTAAATGTCCTTCCCTGACAATGAGATTGATGACTACCTTATATGCCATCCTAGAGCCTGCATCCAGCAGCTGATGGAAGCAGAAGCAGACACCCACAGCTAAACACTGAGCCGAATTCCTGGAATCCAGTTGCAGAGAGTGAGGAGTGATGAGCAAAGGGGTCAAGACCAGGCTGGAGAAACCCACAGAAACAGCTGACCTGAACAAGGGGGAGCTCATGGACTCCAGTCTGACAGCTGGGAAACCAGCATAGGATCGTCCAGACCCCCTAAATGTGGATGTTAGTTAGGAGGACTATGGGACCTCTGGTAGTGGATCAGTATTTATCCCTAGTATATGAATGGACTTTGGGAGCCCATCCCACATAGAGGGATACTCCCTCAGCCTGGACACATAGGGGAGAGACTAAGCCTGCTCCAAATGATATGACAGACTTTTAAAATTCCCCATGGAAGGCCTCATTCTTCCTGGGGAGCAGAAAGGGGATGGGATGGAGGTTGGGGGGAGGGGAGGGTGAGGGAACTGGGATTAACATGTAAAACAAGCTTGTTTCAAATTTAAATAAAAATATTATCATAAAAAGCCCCAACTTTTCTTCTCTGAGAGAATATGGGATGTCCAACATGACCTCATCTCCTTCTTAATCCCCTCCATGATACTTGAGGCTCAGGAGGCAGCCCATGGCAAAGCTATCACTGATACCCGGTTCTGCTACAGCTGCCTTGAAGCCAGCACTAACAGCTTCCTAGGGATTCTCCATACAAAGGCCCATGCTAACCCCCAAGAGAAGGTCACTATCTCAAGGAAAGATATTTCTTCATCCCAAATGCCAGATTCTTCCAGATGCTTATCTGGAAGATAAGCACTTTTTTGCTTGTTTTGTTTTACTTTTGAGACACGGTCTCCCAGTGTGTGCCCAAGCTGGTGGTTCTCTTGCCTCAGGCTATAGGCATGCAACACCCTACCTGGCTAGGAGCTTGACTATTTATGCAAGCCATCTAGACTTGCCAATTGTTGCTTCTGAGTTGAAAGTATAAAAAGATATTCACAGGCTGCTAATGTAAAGATCTGCCCTTCTGGAAAGCAGCCTTTTAGTCTGGTTTTGAGATGGTCCTGTTGTTGCCAGTGTGTTGCTCTAGAACTCCTAATCCCCCTGCCTCCATTCTCAAATGCTGCGATTACAGTATGTGGTGCTTTGTCTAGCAGAAAGCGGCTTTGAGAATAGAAAAAGGGGTAGATACTGAAGTTTGTGACCTACCCAGACACATGCTGTTGAGGGCGGGGATTCTAGCTAGGATCATTGCTCTCTGTGCCCACAGCCTTGTATCAGTGTGGCTGGGAAACACTCCCTCATCATGCCCTCAGCTGGGAAGATGACCATCAACAGGAACTACATGTCACGGTGAGCCCCCCCCCCCACTGTCTTAATATAAATGAATGCTGGAGTCTGGCTGGAGTATTCATAGATGTGGTTCCCGGAAGTTCTAGGGGAAAGGAAAGTCTTCAAGACATATACAACTTCCCTTTGGCTATGTGGCCAGCCGGTCTAACATGAAGCAGTCCAACACAGTGAGGGCCACTGGGGCCACCTAGGGGTTGAGACTAGAGGCAGTCACAAGTGGGCCGTGTCTCCTGCCTGCCTTCAAACCTCAGCCCGGAGGCATATGTGTGTATATGGTATAACAGAAAGACAATCACACTTGAGATCCAATTCTGACTGTGAC